AAAACACTGTTTTATACCTAGAGGAGGTTCACTTCGTGGGACCTGTAGCACTGCTGGTTTACAAACTCGGGAGTTAATTACATTCGCTTGTTGGCCCAGGTGTAAATCTGTCCCTGATTAAACAGATGAATGAAAACCAGCCGGCCTCCGGCGCTGAGAAACCGCCGATGTCAAACATTGGTTTCCGCCCCGGCGCCGACACCGACTCGCACTCACATAATATAACAACCTGCGCACACATACACCGGCGGAAAACAGACGCATGCATGCGCACTTGGTTTTTATCTGTGAGCTCATGCCCGCCGGGCAGCACGTCTGGCTAATGTACGCCACGTCATCGACGCATAGACGACACGCCTGCAGGTGTTTGCGTTTTGTAAAGAAAGTGAATGTGCGGGTGATTATTTTCTACACGCTCACATGAACAACTACATGCGCCTCGCCGTCAACTGGAGAGGAAATGAACCAAAGAATGAGATGAGAAAGATATAAAGTCTGACATGAGACAGAACTCCGTTAGGACACCAGGTCTTCCATCACGTGTGTGTGTGTCTTTCTCCTTGTTGACCAGCTACACGTCTCTTGTCCCAGAAGGGTCACAGGCGGATGACAGGAACAAAAACAATACAATACTACATTTTGCTCACTTTCTTCCCTCTCATTATCAATTTTTTTGCTCCTTTTGAATTCCTCCTACACTTCCCTGAGAAATGGTTCAGGTATTTCTGAAGGGCCGTGGGTGCTTGGCTGCCGTGGGTTTTTAAGAGGGATCCTAGTAGTGTAAATCTCAAGATGGAAAGGCGCAGGGATGCAGAGCCTATTAAAATCTCTGTTGCATTACTCATTTATGCTGTTCAAGGAAAGAGCAGCCGTGCTACTCAGGATAAGACGGAGGGAGTCTTACAAAATCCAACAACATCCAGATCTACAAGTAGACAAATGTTGGCAGATTCACAGGTGCGAAATTAAAAGAGAACGTAAAAAGAAATTCATGGCATTGTAACAAATGTTGGCGCTTCCATTCTAGGCAGGCAGAGCCCCGGATCTCGACCCAACCGTCCCTCAGAAAAGACAGACTTCCTTCATGGCAGAAAGTTATGGTTACAACTGTGGCAAATCTACCACTCGAAAAAACGGTGGCCATTTAATGTCACACAAGGTGCTGTTTTCTTAAGGGAATTAGTGATTAATCGCCCACATGGAAAGCCTATTTTTACACATGATCCATGATGATGAAGATAAAGACAAAGACCAAAGATATGTGGCTGCTGGTTGGACCTTCTGTTTAGGTAAATGGTCGACTAAATAACTGGAACAGAGCGAGTAGGCGGCTTTCTCCACCGCCGCCATCAAAACACCGGATGGTGATCACCTAGAGGCCGGTGGTCCGGCACTTGACGCGCTCGTTTTCCCTTTAATTTGTCCTCCTACGCACAACCAAATGAGATGATGGAGATGAGGGCAATTTCCTCCATCATCTCGGACTCCACACACACCCACTCACACAGTGGAACGCATTTCCTACCGAATCAAAAAGGGCCACACGTTTAACCCTGTGAAGTCAATTTCATTTTTCTGCGGTTTCCCAGGGTTCTCTCTTTACTGCATCCTCTCCTCTTTTCCCTCATCTCCTCTTCTGCCGTTGTTCAGATGGCTGGAAGCCGACAGCTCGTGTTTGTCTGGGCCAAAATGTGGCAGCAACCCCCAGCATGCACTCTGGATGTGCACCACCTACCCTCCCTCTCCACCTCCACTCCCTAAAGCCGGTCTCCCCCATCCTATACTCTCATCCCTCGTGTTTTCTTGCGGTTCATGCTCTGATTGCAGTTTTCATACGAGGTGGTCTGCTTGCGAGCCATGTGGGATGTTTTTAAACCGCAATCGTGCATCAGTTGAGCCGTTGTTTATACAGTGTAATTGTAAACACATTTGTTTGTGCAAAACTGAAAAATAACATAATTCTCTTCCTGTGCTCTTTCTTTATTTTGTGTGTGTGTGTGTGTGTGTGTGTGGGGGGGGGGGGTCTCAAATCTCTTCCCATGCTTAACACCCTCCCAGTTTCCATTACATTTGCACGTTGGAGGCTGTCCAGAGAGATGTAGAGCGGTGAAGAGACATAAAAGGAGACTGAGCCTGGGATGGAGAGAGGCGGATGAAAGGTGGCTTGAGAGACAGAAGGCGTGAAGGCCCAAGATGCGAGTTAGAGACGAGCGCCGAGGCCAGCTGGCCACCAGGGAGACCTGCTGGGACACCTCCTTCTGCAACAAACAACACTGCAATTATACATACGCATGGAGAGAGGAGAGAGGACAAACACGGGACGGAGGACAAGGGGCGCAGAGACAACCTTTAAAGACAAAGAGACCTGAGACAAGAGGCGTCTCCAGTAAACACAGACAGACGTGCAGTACATTAGGTTGCCGCTGTAGGTGGAAACCAGGAGGAGAGTCGCCGGATCAGTAACTCGTCTCACAAACTTGACTTGAAAAGTCCCCGCTGCTCGGTAATCTTATTTTTAGCAGAGAAATATATTTAGGGCCTATCTGCAGTGTTAATAGCGATGACAGCAGAGCAAGTGAGAAAGAACCGAGGGTCGGCTGATACGGGAGAGGGTTTGTAAGCGGTTGGAAGCTACTTTACCACCAAGTCTGTCTTAAATCAAGCCACACGGCAGATAAAACACTGCGACGCAAAAGAAGAAAGTGGCCGACGCCTGGTCCCAATGGCATAATAATATATGTATATTAACAATCTCATAGATTTTTCATTTTAAAATAATTTGGTAGAAGAAGAAGGCATTGCAATATATATTTATTTGCAATACACTTTACTGGAAAGTAATAGTTATATGTACAGTGTTACTAAAATAAATGTAATTATAGTGATCTGTCTTTCTCAAACTATTGAACATAAGGTGCATTTAATTTTTACACAAACGTAGCTTCCAGAGGAGAAGTCTCAGAGTACGGAAGCTAAAGACATTGTTTTTCCCTGGGATGCATGAACTGTAAGGCTATGGATGTCCCAACAAACCCGCTGACATCAGCACGTCCAGTGTGTGGTTTGCTTCAGGCAACCGGCTCTCTTTGATTGAGGGTTGGGGCAAAGATTGTGGTTTCGATTAAACGAAGTACGGAAACACGTCCCGTCAAAAACCGCGATCTCTCAAACCTAAACTCAACCAAAAGCAAACATTATTCACGGGAAGAGGGGAACTTCTCACAGCTGCAAAACATCAGATGACATCTTTATGGTGGGGAAAGAATACGTGTTATGTCTTTGTAATAATAAATAAATAAAAACATTTGTAATAATACTATGAAAACACTTTCAAGATTTTTAAATTCATCAGTCACTTGAACCGGAAAATCAAATGAAAGGAGAGCTATTTGTGTCAGAAGTTAGTACCTGTCCACACACACAAACACACGCGCGTGTGCGATCACGCGTTGTAGTGTACAACCAGCGTGGTCGGCCCACGTGTGCGGCGTGCGGCACGGGAGCAATTAAACACAGTCAGCTGACCTCTCGTTACGTCTGTGCTGATGGAGCCTTCAGAAGCGCTGTTTACTGTCTGGATACACCGAAAACAAACACACTCGCCCACTGTCCCTCCTACACACACACACACACACACACACACACAGGAGGGGAACCAAAAAAAACACAAAGCAGCAAACAAACACACGCCACCGCCGCCGTCACATAATCAGCGTGTGAATAAACTTTTCAAAAACGTAAATAATCAAGAAGCCATAAATATTTGTTGGTTTGAAAAACTCGCGGGGACCCAAGAAATTCTTCAAATGAAGTTCAAACACCAAGTTGCAGAAATTTGACCTCGATCCGGACAGTTTGCGCGCCGCTCGCGTGTGTGAAAGTGTGCGATCGAAACGCTTGAAGAATGTCACACTTACAGCCGGTGTGTCTCGCGCATTAAAAACACCTGGTCCGCCGGCTGTGAAGAGAAAGAAATGAAATAAAAAAACGTCCTCCTACGAATAAACGGGCGCGGACGCAGCGCTGAGCGGAGCGGGGGGAAATCAAACGGCCGGCCCCCGACCTCGCCCTCGGCCGCACACACAGGAGGTGTTCTTCTCTGCCCCGGGGGGAACTAATGAAATCGCTGCTTGACACAGATGTGAGGGCGGTTGAGCCTGTCAGCGTGCGGCCACTGAGCGTCTATTCAGGAGAAAGAGATGAAAGAAGGGAGGGAAGAATGTGAGAGGGGAGAAGAATAGTAGAGAGTATTTGTGTAGAGGATTTTTTTTTTCTTATTTAATTCTGGATTAACTGTAGTATTAAACATACGGCAAAACCTCATCTTCTTATACCTCTCATCTTATACCAAAGATAAATCTGTGTCGCATTAAGTTGTGAAAATATTCTAAATACATCGTCCATGTCTGTTGGTCCGCACCGATTCAGGGTGCTAAAATACTTTTACTGCTCCCCACTCGCGCAGACGGCCTCTGATTAAATAAAGCACCTCACACAACCCCACTGAGAAAACAGAACAAACCATCGCTTGAAGGGATAATTACAGCTCGCCCCGAGGGAGACGTGGATCTTGTGTACCAAGTGGTGGCGAGTGACCACTTTTCTCCATGTTGTGATTATGCAAAGTGAAGGCCCCGACAGGGAGCCCGACGTCGAGAGGCCCGGAGCGTTGCCAACGTGCCGCTAATAAGCCGGGGGAGAGAACCGAGGTGTGCGAGTGAGCGAATTCCCGCGCGTCCTGCCACGTTTCTGCAGGCGATTACTGGCCGGGTTGAGCGATGCGCGGGGGTTATCAGTCGACGAGGAGAAATCCAAAACACAAAGAGTCAGGGGCCCGCTTCTTTGATGTCCGTCTGAGGGAATCACACAGGAGGGGAAGGAATGGTGGGGGGGGATCTCAGGTCCGATGTTTAAAGACTCTTAAGTTGCTGTTTAAAGCATCTAAATGTTTTTTTTTTTTGGGTCTTTCAGGCAACGTGTGTGTCTTTGTCTTCTGTTAGGTCACTTCCTGGGGAACCACAGCGTGCTGGACATCCTGAGGAAGGACGGCTACGAGATCGTCCACGTGCCCCCCGATGCCAGAGAGCCGGTCGCAGAGTGAGTGTGCCGACAGGGCGACCGCAGCGGGGCGTCTTTTTCACTGAAGTGCTGCGTTTGCAACAAAAAGAGGAGCAAACTCAAATCTGTGGCAGAAGAAGACGATCACTCGGGTTACCGGGTAACAGAACGCAGCGATCGCTTGACATCATTGAATCCGACGAGGTGCATAATAGCGTATTATTTTATTTTTGGCTAAATAATTCAAATATAATTCAATCGCCGGCTCCGGATGATTCAAATTCTGCGCGAGCAATCAATCCCAGATTACACTTGAGATCCTGAAAAGACGACGAATGTAAAAAGACAAAGAAGGCCTGATGATCTGCTGGCATCGCAAGCTGATTGTATACGATAGTGTGGAATGTGAGGCAATTTGTGCACTCTTTAGTTTTTTTTGGCAGGCGGGCAGATGGACGCGTGGAAAGCGCTTCAGCTTTTTAACCTCGGCGGATTCATTAAATAAAGTGCTGCGGCCGTCCGGTCCAAGTCGAGCTGTGCAGCAAATAAAAGCGAGCTACGCAGGAATCCTTTGATACGCGCTTCGTCGACTCCCTCACCTTCCTCCCCTCTGCCCTCCCCGCTCTCGCCCCTGCGTGCCAAAGGCGAGCTGCCAGCGGCGGGGCGGGGGGGAGGAGGGTGCTGCCTGTTCTCAGCAGCCACTGGTACCGCGGTCAACACAAACGCACACTTCCCAGCGTGTCTGTGTGTGTGTGTGTGTGCAGGGGTCAGTGGAGGGATGCAGCGTGCCAAAGGAGGGTTGTACTTAATGCCTCAATCTGTGTGTGTGTGTGTGTGTGTGTGTGTGTGTGTGTGTGTGTGTGTGTGTGTGTGTGCGTGTGTGTGTGTGTGTGTGTGTGTGTGTGTGTGTGAAATCCCATCCCTTGGCACAGAGCAGCTGTCACCTTACATATTGATCTGTGGTCCTGTGAAGAAGCAGTACAGAAAGACACTTGAATCAGGGAGAATTTGTCCATCCAGTAACTTCTCCGTGCAAACCGCGGCCGTAAACACGGACTCCCTGTTGGCCGACGCCCTGTTTTGCAGAGTTGTGGGTTTTTAGAAAAAGTGGTTCTGGCGTCAAAACTGACCAGTGGACTGACTTACTGTGGTCACACACACACACACACACACTTATACGTGTGCACAGACACTTTCAGCTTCCTGATAGAAGTTGACAAGCCAGCCAAGGAAAAACACCACAAGATGGCTGACTGAGAGGCGTTTAGGGAAGCTGTTAGCCTCAGAGCGGCAGCCTAAGGAGAGCGTTTTATCACCTGACTGACGGAGGAGGGGATGGGGGGGCGGTTGGGGTTCTTTAGGTGTTCTAGATTAAAACAGTCACATTCAAGCCATATTGACAATTTTTGGAACGAGAGGAGAAAGGATGACTAACGGGGGAAGAAAAAAAGGTTTCTCAAAGAGAGGTCAGCAGTTCTGGGTGGTCCGCTTCGGGCAGACGGCGGTTCTGATGCACCAGTACGGTCACTGTTATTTCTGCCCGTCGGTACGGCGTTTATAGCGCAAGGCGTCTTGATTGAAGTAAAGAGACGTGCAGAACGCAAAGGTGGTCCGAAACCACTGAGCGCTAAACTTCCAAAAGAGGAGCGGTCTTGTATCTGATTGTTTTCCATCTGTGAGTCTAAAGCTTTTCAGCGAAATACCTACAGATCACGTGGTCCAAACACCCCAGAGGGGGCTTTTTCCTTGAGGACAATTTGACTCCACCTCCCCTCCGTTTTTTCCTCCCGCTGCAGGGGCGAAGCGGTGCAAGAGCCTCCGGCGCGGTCCGGCGAGGAGGGCGCCGGCACGTCGCCCCCCGACGGCTGGCCGGCCGCTCCGTCGGAGGCGGGGCTCGAGGCGGACTACGCGGAGGGCGAGCGCGGCCTCGGAGACGACGAGCCGCCTCACATCCTCCTCCCCGACAGCCTGAGCCAGCTGGAGGAGTTTGGGCGACACAAGAGGCCTCGCAAGGCCCACCGCGGCCACGGGAGGCCCCGCCTCTTCAGCGACCTGTGGGTCCGCATCGGCGACAGGTGAGATACGTCTCTTGTGATCGGTGATTTCCAGCCCCTCCCCCTTCCCACGAGCACGCCAGAACAACCGCGATCTCCTCTTCCCTGCAGCACTACTCCACCACCTCATGTGAGGATAATCAACGGCTACGTGACGGCGGAGCCGCCGAGGACCCATCAAGAGCAGCACAGACGGACGGAGGTCTCCGCCACGGGGCCGCAGCACGGCCCGACTTCCCCCCCGCCCCCGGTGGACGATGCCGGCGCCGCCCGCCGCCCGCTCACGCCGTCCTGCATGGTGGCCTGGCTGCTAATACACGGGCTGCTCGCCTCCTGACCGCAGAGCCGGGCGCCGCCTCAGAGACAAAACGCCGCAGATAGAACCGCCTCCAGAGGACGACCTCCGTTGATGGGGAGGGGGTGGAGGGGGGGGGGGGATCAGCTACGCCCTCCTCCCCCTCCCCGCAGAGGCCTCCGCCTGCTTTTCAAGTGTCAAACTGAGCGGGACGAGCTCTGAGCCTGTGTTCTATTACGGTAGAATAAAAACTGTCATACTTGTGTAGAAAAGTAGGACGATAACTATGAGAGTAGGACCTACTAATAAGTTGTAGCTCTGTGATGAACGAGGTCAATACGGTCGGACAGTACTGCGGTGGAGCACTTTGTGCCACTGGTCTTTCTTTTGTAAATTGTTCATTTTGTTCATAAAAAATAAGAATATTGTATATTTATTATTTCTGGAAGAAAACAGTATATTTTCTGGCTTTTTGAAGACAAATAAGGAAATAAATAAACTTTGAAATCATTTGAAGTGTGTGAAGATGATCTTTCCTCAATAAAGGGGGGGGGGGGGGGTGCTCACGTGCAACAGGTGATCTAAACCTGCCACCTGCTGGATGGAACGAGGACAACATCATTCCCCGTTGCCTCCACTACAGTTGCTTTGGACCAAGTGCCACTTGTCCTGCATCACAGAATGAAAACCATCGGGCCGCAGGAACAAACCGGCAGGAAGTCGCAGACGGGCAGGCAGCGTTTCCCTCAGAGGAACAGGAAGCCACATTAAATCCATCAGGCAGAGCCGTGATCAGCCCCAGCTGACCTTGACCCCCAGGCGCTCCAGCAGAACTACAAAGTGGTGAAAAACAGAATGTTCCCCTTGTATGATGTCAACGTACTGCCCGAACATTCAATTCAAGTGGAACCAACTAAACGTGCGGCCCTGCTGCAGTTGTGCCGTTTGCCACCAGGTGGCGGAATCGTCACAGAAGAACCTCATTACCAGCTCATGAGCACTGACCTGCAGAGGAAGGCACCGCTTCATGGACAACATAACGGTGTAGAAAATATTCATATTCGAGCCCAAATCTCGACATTTACATATTTACGTTATATTCATTCCAATAATATATATTTTTTTGCAGTTTGATAAGCCAATTAAAACTGGACCTACTGATCCAATTCCAACTAGCTTATTGTAATGTGTTTTGAAATCATAACAGTAGAGACATAAAATACATTCTCAAACTATTGATGTCAAAAATAATGAAGACATAAATAATCTGACATAAAAAGCAAAAACTCTGCTTTGCTTTTGGTTCTCATAATCTCATAATAACACTGAAAGGAATGTTATGGATTGCTTCAGTCACTTTTATGCTATTTTGATAATTAAATCATCAGGATAGATTTTACGGACTACAACGTGTGCTGTGAAAGCACAGTTTCACAAAACAACAAAGGATCCAATGTAAAGATCCAAATGAATACTTCAAATAAATATAGCCAACCCTCTCAATAAAGTGTAAAGTATATCCCTCGCTAACTTGATTAACTGGCAAAGAATAAGTGAAATAAGAAGAAATATTAAGTTCATTTTAGTTAATAAAGTTATTTTTTGACATAAGTTTAAACTTATACCAAAAACACCTGAGATGTTTTAATGAAATCCTTTTAATCTATACGTATAATTTCAGAGCGAATTTTGTTGCATTATTAACTTCACTTTGTAGCTTTCAATCGAGCGTTTAACAGTTTCCTCTTCAACAGAGAAAAAGGGACGTTTTTTAGAACAAACAGCCTTTTCGCCCCTTAAGCCAAGACAGGACAATATTTGCCTTAGCTAGAATACCATTTTCCCTGGACTTTGGGGTGTTGTTTGAAGGAGTGGGGGCCTTGACAGGGCGCTCTGAGGGCTGACCCTCACTCTGCCGGGGACACGCCGCCCGCCGCATATAAATAAAAGATTACAGTGGAAAATCAATTTCTGAGCAAACTCATTAAAAATGCCCCTCGCCTTAAATGATTCCCATTTCCTTCCATTCAACCTGTTAATGCCCGGCTATCCCTGAGACCGAGCACCCCTTCATCCTCCCTTTACCTCCCTGTTGCTCCCCCAACCCGCACCCCCCCGGTGGAGATTACGTGCACAAGTCGTTTTTTGCCCTTTGATTTGCGCCGTTTCACAAATGAAGGTTAAGTTTGTTTAACCGTGCCGGATTTGCCAGTCATGTTAAAGCATATAATGTGGCAGGTCCTCGGTTTCACCGCACACCTCCGACACCCCCTGGCCTGCCTCCTCCCTCCCTCCCTCCCTCCCTATCTCCTTCCCTGTTTGCCTGGGCCTCTTCGGAGGGGGTGGGGGGGGTCTGGAGGGAGGCTCCAAGGTTAAGGCTTACTGAGCCTGAGGAGGCCTGCAGTGGATCACGATTCAGACCCATTGACTAGAATGAGGGGACCAGAAGAAACATTTTAAAATCCCCCCTCTGGTAACAGGATTAGGAATCAAACTGCTGTGTTTTCCCCGGCGGGATGTTATGGTGCCGCCGTCGGTAAGTCGCCGAGGCGATGGAGCCAACGAACCGGAGCAAGATAAAGGAAGCAGTTGTTGTTTTTTAACTCTCTTTCCAAGCAACACGCCGCATTGTTTCATTCTCCTGCCGAATTACTGAAGAAAATATATAAATCGATGATGCACAACAGCGAAAGACACACACGCGCAGGAGTGCTTTCACGCGGCGGCGCCTTGGCCTCGTCTTCGATCAATACCTGACGAGAGAGGGAAAGTCGCCGGGGGGCCAAGGTGAGCATTGATCTCGGAGGGGGGGGGAGAGGGGGGAGAGCCGTCCGGAGCATTCTAAGTGTGCGAAGCCAATGGGCACTAAACGGCGGAGGAGGGGTCCGACACAATGCACGGCCGAGCGCATTGTCTGTAGCTGCTCGTTGCAGAGGGACGCTCACCGCATCCTGTGCGGCGGACGGTCACCCCCACATCTCGCTTTGATTCTCGGTCTAGCCCGACGGCAGCCATAAAGCTTTGGAGAAGGAGTGGGTGGGGGGCAAAGTGTGTTTAGCCGCGCAGATAGCACTTCCTCCCTTCAGATAATCCCGCTGATAGCCGAGAGAGGTGTTCGGGGGGCGAGCTTCAGTGACTCGCGCCTCGTCTGTGTTTGTGCTGGTTGAGACATTATTCCCTCCCATTGTCCACGGCCCCCCTTGAAGATTGTGCGGCTTTGAGCCGCGGGATGGAGCCGCGTGGCCTTGTGCTGCCTCAACACGGTTCAGGTGCAAGTCTCCGCGGGCGAGACGGCACCCGGCGACAAACACGAAGCTGCCATTTCATTTCACATTTCCAGGTAGCCGACGGTTCATTGTTGCGCTGAAATGCCTGTAGGGCTGCAGACTAACAGAGCCCAGTGCTCCGTGGCCCTCCGTGGATGCTGGTGCCTAAAACAAGCGGCCCTACTGCTGCACCTGGTGACGTGTTCTAGTTACAACGAACATGACCTGTGCCGTTTGTTCTGCAGCAACTCGCAATCTCTGGAGGACGCCACTGAGCGCGCTCAAAGCGTCCCCGTTTACACTGCCTTAGTGCAGCGGGGTCATGGAGGAATATGTCAACCAATGAGACAGTACGGCTCTTTTATGTGCTTTTAGTAGTTTGTAGATAAGGAGTGAGCCCCATCGACTTCTTCTAACCCTTTAAGGATATTCTCGAATGGGATTCTAATAATAAAGGTACTTCTTACTGTTCCCCCCTCCCAAAGATTGGGTGCACATTGTGTTGGAAAACAAAACTCGTAATTAGAAATCGGGAATAGTGAATGCAGATGTGTTTCACCGCTGGTTCTGTGCTGCAACATACAGCGAGGGAAAATAGTTTGTTTTGAGTGCAGAGGTAGAAGGAGCGAGTGTGTACCAAGGAGAGCAAAGTAGGTACAAAGGAGAGAGGAATACCGGGTGAGCTTACGCGTACGTGTGTGTGTGTGTGTGTGTGTGTGTGTGTGTGTGTGTGCATTGAGGCATGGTGGTGAGAGTGTTGTGTTTCACAGTTTTTTGCCATGATGCACTGCTTTATTATTCTGCACAAGGGGCACTTCACATGCGGAATGGGTTCTCTTTGATATCGACAGCAGCTTGAGGGAGAGAGTGCACTCAAAAACAGGCGCGGGCGAATTTATTCTGGGAAAAAAACAGATAGTTGTGTACTTCCCTGGCAGTGGTCGCCGCACATGCGAAGAGCCAACCGCTTTGATGCTCCAGCGGTGACACTCCATGCGCTAATGAAATATGGTAATTACAGCCACATGAAAGCCCTCGTACACGGAGCCGGAGAAAGGGTGTAAAAAAAACAACAAATATGACTTTATCCAAAGATACCCAGTGTGATTAATTCTCCTTTTCGTAAACATATATTTTATGCCGTTCACTTGCGACAAAGCAGCGTGGGCCATCAGTTGACCCGGGAACTGGCGAGGGGGGAAAGGTCCGCTGATTAAGAACCCCATTGTTCCCTTTCAATGGTTTGCTGGAGATCTCGGTGTGGAAAAAAAAAGAAAGAAGGACCTCCGGAGGGTGCTCTGCGTGCCGCGCACCGCCGCTTTAATTTAGGCCCGTTTCTTTCACAGCAGCGGATCTATTATTTGTTTATTTGGAATTTACCAAACCTGGACGGCAAAAGTGACTCCACAGCCCAGACCTCGGGCTCCATCCGACGCCCCAGTAGGCCCATTTGTGGAGAAAAACGTAACTTGATTGTGGGAGGAAAGAGATCTTAAACTTATTACGTTTAAAGTTTACACAATGGAAACCGGAGCGATGTTTTCCAGTCGAGCTCCGACGGCCCCAGATGTCACCCGGAGAAACACATCAGAGCTCGCATGAGAAAGGGCCACAACTCGATATGCCCTGGGACACTTTTTTTGGGGGGTGGAAACGGAAATGGTTGCATGACTGGAAGCGTAGGGGCAGATTTGCATGGATGGTAAATTCGGGCAGTTTGTTGTAGATGAATTAGGGACGATTTGAGGAGGCTCGACGGAAGCATGTGAAAAGTCGTACCCGTCAGTATGAATTATATCTTTCTGTTCTTGTCATAACTCAATCTCTTGCAACCCGTGAAGAATAAATAATGAATCTAGAATATTCTAAAACACTTGCCAAGTTGCCATGTTTTGTCGGCCAAAAAGAAAAAAGTGTATTCTTGGAAGACGCCATAAATGGATTTTACCAACAGCTAAGTGCAATAAAGTCTAACTGTATGAAGCTGCATCCAAAGTCCACTTAACATACATTTTATTAAGAAAAAAAGGTGAAATTCTCCCTGTATACTTGACACAGAAAGAGGTGGAGTGACACGGCGCACTGCCTGTGGCAGAGGAGGAGGACAGACAGACAGAATACAAAGGGGTGGAGGAGGCTGTGTGTTTGACCATCAGTGTTTGCTTTCAGTCAGACGCCACAGCAGTCCCCCATCCAGTCACACACACACACACACACACACACACACTTTCGCCTCGCTGACCC